ATGCTTTATTGACATTGCATGGGCATCAACCTTTTGACCAATACCAGACAAGTTGTTTCTCATCTCCTTCACATTTTTATCAGTTACGTCAAACCTTTTCATCATCTTATGCATCATATCTTCAATTCGCGCCAGATTTCCTCAAGCTTCCCTAGCACCAGATTCCCAATTTTGAGGGGGAACATAAGGTCCAACCCGATCGTTTCTGTTGCCATAGTTGTTCCGATTGTAGTTGTTGTTGCAATTTAAGTTTTCATCCCGGACATATTGACCCTCTCGGTTGTAGTTTCCATAGTTCCGACCTTGGTTTCCTTGACCCTGGCGCCAATTTTCCGTGTTGGATCCTTGAGCGTTAGGTCGAAAACCCCCCGTTTGATCATTCACTGCATAAGCATCCTCTTCATAGTAACACTTGTCAACTGGTGGTGGCGTTCTAGTCAAATAATTCACAGCATTTACCTTCTTTGCACCTCTGCTCACATGCTTCAATACCAACCCAACTCGGTCCTCATCTGAGCCATCTCCTCACGAATCTCCTCTGCAGATTGATTGTTTGTAGCATGAACGGCAAATGTGTTTCTCTCAGTATCCGACCTCCTAGTGCTTCATGCTTTATTGTTGCGAGAGATCTTCTCTAATTTTTCTGCAATCTGTGCATAAGTGCACTCACCATATGATCCTCCAGCAGTAGTATTAAGCACTGCTTTATTGTTGTCATCCTGACCTCGATAGAAATATTCCTTCAGCGACTCATCATCAATACGGTGATCCGGAACACCTCTTATAAACGAAGTGAATCTGTCCCATGAGCAACTCATCGACTCTCCAGGTAATGCCACAAAATTATTGACTCTATCTTTGTGATTGAGCTTCTTGGACACTGGATAATACCTTGCTAAGAACACATCTCTCAGTTGGTTCCATGTATAGATTGAGTTATAATGAAGCTCAGTGAACCATATAGCAGAATCGCCTGTCAATGATAGAGGAAACACTCGCAATCCGATGACATCCATATCCAAGTCTGGTGGACCTACACAGCTCTTGCAGACCACCCTTATCTTGGCTATGTGAGCATGTGGGTCCTCCGATGGCAATCATGAGAACAATCCCCTCGCTGTAAGCATCTGCATTAAGCTACTGGTTACCACAAATATGTTCCCCGGAGGCAAAGGGGGTAAGACTAGAGGGCCATCAGAATCAACAATATTGACGTTGCCCCTGTAGTTGTCATGCAGTTGTGGGCCTGGTGGTCCATACACCCTCACTACATCTCTCACTTGATTTTCTGCTAGACCTCGATTTTCCCCACCATCTATTATTGGCTGTTGTAACTCAACTGCATCGCCAAGATCTACTCCGATAGGATTAACTGGAATTCCTTGATTGTTCATTCTTCGCAAAGTTCGATTCAACTCTGGATCGTACGGAGTAAGTAGTTCGCCCTGGCTCCGTGTGCTTGGCATACACTAGAGTCAGA